GTCTAGGGTGGGGGAGGGACTGGGATGGTGGGGGGAAAGCATTAAATACTGCATCTTCTTAGAAAACAGAATGGCTCTTGCATTTTCCTGTTGCCCATCCTGGTGGGAGAGGGTTGGGCTGAGGGCCCCATGATTCATGTCTCTGATCTTTGGCCATCCGGCCTCTGAAGGGCGTGCCAAGGACCCTTCCACGCCACCCTCCACCCGTTACCATTAGTTTGATGCCTGCTGTGTGGCAGACAGCCTGCTCTGTGCTGTGGTTTACTCCGGAGGGGACAACATTGGTCCCGTGTGAGGAGCTCACCGTCTGATAGACCAGGCATTTCTGTTTGGCAGGTTAATGGAGCTCGTGGTTTCAGAGGAGCGAGGCTGGTGGACACCCCAGGTGAATAAGGCTAGAAAGAGGGCCAGAGTGGTTTTGGGGAATCGTGGAGAGGAGCTGAGGTGTGGCTTATTCTAAAATAGCAGACAATTTAAAAATACTTTCTGCTTGAGCTGGGATGCCCTGTTGATGCTTTGCAGGTGCAGACTGACCTCCCTAGTTACATTTGGCGTAGGCATAGATCAAAGTTCATATTTCTCAAACACATGCCTAAGACAAGGTGCTAACATGAAAGCTAGAACAGGTTTAAAGGAGGTTTCGAAAGGAGTGTGCATACATGCGTCAATCTAGAGCTGACTAATCGGCCATTGGTGTAGCTGATGGTCATTGGCCCAAGGCATATGAGGCCTGGAAAGCTGACTCCGAGCACAATCCAGAGGAGAGGGAGTGATTTAAAAGCCTTTTCTCATTCCAAGCTTGGAGTTTGATCCTTTGAGCTCTTTCCAGGACACAGATGGAGATGGCAGCTCAGATGCAGCTAAAAGCATAAAGGTTGACTTCAATGGATTTGCAGAAACTTTTATAGATAGAAATCATTCCATTTTACCTGGGAAAATAGGCCTGGGAATGGATGGGACAGAGGGGAGGAATGGGGTAAGTCAGAACCAGAGTCCTTAAGCTGGTGGACTCAGCGTTGGGTCGACATGCCTCAGGTGCAGGTGCCACCAGGAGCAAAGGTTGGCACTTTCCCACGCTGAGCTCAGGCCTGTAGACCAAGATGAAATTCACTTGGACCAGTAAACTATCCCATCTTCACTCGGGTGCTGTGGTAGGAAGCAGGCATCTACATTGCTCTTTCAGGAGCTCCCAGGGGAAGTGCTCATCAGCCTGGCAGATCAGGGAAGAAAGGCGGAAGCAGCTCCAGATCCAGTACCTGTGGGGAAGCTGAGAACAGGCGGTGAGGCAGAGCCGCGATTCCCCTGCAGCCTTCAGAGATGCAGAAGCTGACTCAGTAGAGCGGGAGTGGGCCTGACATTCTACATTTCCAGCAAGCTTCTGGTGCTTTTGTTGCTGTTGGTTCATGGACTACATTTGAGTAGCTGGGACTGCTGGGCAATGCCAAGGGGGAAATCCCATATCTCCATCTTGCCTCTTGCCGGAGGGGCAGAGCCAACCACTATCCACATTGCCTCCCACCCATCTCAGGTGATGGAAAAACCCGAGCCTAAACTAGAGGAGAAGAACCGTTACCAGCACTGGGGGCCTTTCTGAGTCCCCATCCAAGCTCTTCTCCAGGATTCCCTCCTTGTCCCAGATCTACTTTCTCCTTTTGGGTGGCAAGGATTTCTCTCTTACCCTAAACCCCCAGAGGTGAGAAAAGGGCTGCCTGGGGAACCACTGGGCCTGAGGACCTCCCAGCTTCCCTCACCTGGGTTCCAAGTTGAATTCAGAGAGGATTCCTTGAGGTCCTGGCAGCCAGGAACCCTGTCTTATGTGCCCCGAAAGCTGTAATGAAGACATTGATGACAACAGTGATGAAAACCAAGATGGTGGCAGCATTGTTGAGCTGGTTTAATTGCCACTGCTTTTCCACCTCATTCAGGTTCAGCCGTGCTGTGGAGAAGTAGAGAGTGAGACGTAAAAGTCAGGGTGGGGGCTACAGTCTGAAGCTTCCCTCACAAAACCCACTAGAGTTCAGAGAAAGTCTGGCAGCTCAGAGATCCATGTGGCAGAAGTCAAGGGAGGTGGTGTCATTGCATTGGACACCTCTTCCCACACCAGTGTGGGGGCATCCATGTGGTGCTTCATAGAATCAGGGTTTGGGAACTTACACCGGATCTTCTGAATGGGGTGCATGCTCACACAGGTGATATGGGACTCTGCTACAAGTTAGTGAGGGCGTCACTCAGCAGTGTTGTGGAATGGCCTCTGTATGGAAGACCAAGAGGTAAGGCAGGGTGCCTCTCATCGCTCTAGGTGTCACTTGGGCATTTGTAGGTGCAGAGGGCTTACACCAGGTTTGTGTATGGCTGAGAAGTAGGCATGTACAAAGCAGGGTGGTACAGGGAAGACACTTGGGGCTCATCTTCCCACTAGGAGGCACTGGGGCCAACTCCAGGCCTGGGCTCACCAATGACCACGAGGAGGATTCCGATGACGACCTGCAGGAGCAGAGAGATGCTGATGAGAGTGATGAGGGTAGCATAGTATTGAGAGGACGGCCCCTGCTCCAGTACCGTTTTCAGCCGCATGGCATTGGACATGAAGAGAGCCACGTCCAGCATGCTCTCTGCCACGCTTTTCTTGGTGGCATAATGGTTCAGGTTGATGGGCTGGTTCCTCCCGGGGTTGGGGTTCTCAGGCTGTAAGGGAGAAAGCACAGGTTTACCAGGGAGGCTCTAGAAGGGAAAGAAGAGAGAGTTACTAAAACTCACTCGTAACCAGGTGAGGGCAGGTAACACCCTGCTGAGTTTTATGGCCTGAAAGAAATATGTTATGTTGTAATTTATATTTCACAGTGGGTAGAGTCGCCCTTCCATCACACTTCACACATTCATCTGAAGGACGCCAGGAGGTGTAATGGTTAGCACTCTGGACTCTGAAGGACGCCAGGAGGAGTCTCAGCTGCTCTTAAAATGTGCCGTACTCATTCTATGCTGTTTTACCTGGGCTGGGCCCGGCCCAGGGCCACTCTGTTTTCCTCTGAGAGCAACGCCTCTTAGAAGACAATAGCAGGAGGCTCGGGTGCAATAGGAAAGGCACCTCTTCTCCCAGGGTGCTGTGGCCCCAAGGCGGCTGCACAGCTGAGCAAAAGGATCCTGAGCTGAGTTCTGATCCCACTCAGCCTTTGGCACTGGGCCACAGCTGTGCTCAGGCACTCTCGCTGGCTGTCAAACACAGGCCCAAATCAAACCCCACCTGTATGTGTGTGGTCACGTATGCTAAAAGCCCTTTGTTTTTTACATTTGATTTGATTTTGAAATATAAAATAAAGCTCTTATCCTCAAGAAGTCACGAACGCCAAAAGATGGAGTTACAATGCAGGCACATGGGCTGGACGTCTGGGCCGAGCCAGGAAATCCAGGCTGGGTGCTGCAGGCACACTGCCGTCACTCGGGAGAACTTGGGGCCATGCTAGGGAGACTTATTTAGGAGTGGTGCTTGGGATGATTGGCCCAGTGGGGCCCAGAAGCAGGAGACCCGTTGAAAGGTATGGTATTGACTTAGGGTCAGGGTGACAAGGAACGGAACCTGAGTGGTGGTGAGAAGGAGAGCAAGGAAGGACTTTGAGAGATAAAACAGCCTGGGGCAGGGAGCTACCTCAGCAGATGACGGCAGCAGGATAGCTGTTGAGTGGGTGGGTGGATGGATGGGTAGATGGAGGGGGTATCCAAGGGTTCTGGATGCTCCTAGATGCTGGGCTTGTTCGGTTAGTGCCGGGGTGCCAAGGCCAGTAGCCCACAATAACACCACGGCTAAAACCTGTGGTCCTAGCCCATTTGGCAATGGTTCATTCTGGGTTCAAAGGACATTAAGTGAGAGTCTGTGGAGCAGCCCAGCCCTCTCCACAATTCAAAGTGCTTCTGCCCGAGAACCGCTTCCCCCCTTGGCTATGCCCAGTAGCTACAAGCTTTGCACTTGTTCCTTCTTCCGAATCCAGCTGTTCAAGATCTGATAAACTGTGAAATACTGGGAAAGCTTCAAGGGAGAAAACCCCTTCTATGAAATGTTGTATATGAAAGTGGACAAAACCTTAAATTCAAATAGTGTGTGAGGGGGTGGGTACTTGGGGACACAGATGTCCCCAGGCCTCAACAAAAAATATTGCTATTTGTAAGTTTTATGAGAACTTCTAGGCTTTTTATTATATTGATCTTAGAGCCTCATCCTTTCCGCTCTAATTTAGGGCCTGCTTTTATTTTTATTTGTGCCAGTTCAGGATTACTCCATAACTGAGGATGCATCTCAGCTATGGTGGTGGGAGGCTCTGCAGTGTGCCGCCCGCCCTAGCTCCCGAAGGCACCAGTTCTCCATAATGTCCACATGGTGTCGCGCTGCCTCCAAAGAAGTGACTTGGGCACCCACGCTGCCCTGGTGGCGGTGGGTGGTGTTTCTCCTCCTGAGGACTCCACTGAGAGCCAGGCTCCTGTGGGACCTAGATTTCCTGGAGGCCCAAGACAGGGAACCTGGTTCACAAATCTGGATCGGCCAACCTAAAGCCCATCAAACGGGTGTCCAATGAAAATCCAAGGATAAACCAGTCCTGAGATGGGGCCAGGACTGGGTGGGGAACCAGGACTACCTGCCTTGGGACTGTGAGACCCGGGAAAAAGTTTTTTTGAAAGGGAGGGAAACAGTTTTCTTCATCCTTCTTGGTCGGGTTCAGGTGCAGTCCTGCCCTGAGGCAGAGGGCTTACTGAAATGACCTGAGGGTCCTCTTTTATAGCCTGAGAATTCAATGGGATGAACCCCCAAATCCCACAAGGTGCCACCCTTTTTACCCCCTGCCCAGAAATTAGGAGCAACCCAACAAGGATTCAGGAGAGGACGGTAAGGGTGGCAGGCCGGGTGATGGGCAGGGTGGCCCCCTCTCCTGCTTCTAGGAGCTGGCCCTTTAAGGCTTAGGCCCAGGCAGCCTGAACAAAGGCCCGGGAATGTGGGCTGGGCCAGCTAGTGGAGCCACCCAGCCTGAGTCATTGGTATTTCACGGGACTAGGAATCGCTGCCTCGCCTGCTCCCTCCCCTGGCCCCTGCCCCCTCCCAGGGCAGATGGGCAGCTCTGGAGCAGCTTGCATGGCGGATCTGACAGAGCTTGCTGGGGCCTCCCCTCCCCTCAAACCCACTTGCTCTGCCCTAGTTCCCAGCCCCTTTCCTCTGGTTCCTCGGAGCAGGGGCTGGAGGGACAAGGACATCTTTCTGGCGTCTGGGCCCAGATCTGCCTCTGGGCTTGGCACTTTGGGCCTCAGTTTGCACAGCTATAAAACAGGAGGAAAATCCCATCTCTGAAGGGGTGGAAGCTAGTCCAGTCTGAGATCTAGCTCTCAATGCGTCTTATTCCATTCCACCACACCCAACCCCCGTCCTGGAGGACAGCAGGTGGCCACACCAGGGATTCCAGTGTCCCTATTCCAGAAAGCAACCTATTCAAATCCTGCCAACCAACGAATGACACCTGAACACCGAGAGGGGATTTTGGTTGATATGAGCTTGGAACAGGGGCGGGTGTGGGGGAGGTGGGTGTAGATCTAGAGTTCCTTTCTGGAGCACATGGAGGTTCTGGGCAACAAGAGGCCTTGGGTTTGGTGAGGCGGGTAGGGTGACGCAAGGGGGTTGGGGACACGACAGACACCCTCCACCCGGTTCCCAGTCTGCCTTTCTTCCTGGCACCACCATTTCCCTCCCTCTGGTTCCAGCTCAGACAGCCCTGGGTAACAGCTCTCCTGCCAAGTCCCCGCTCCCCAGGTTGGTGTGGATTCCAGCTCTTGAAGTCATGGATTGCTCCATTGCTCATTCTTTATCTCTTAATCCTTGATGGCCTATTTTATTTTTGTTTCTTTACAAAACTTGTTGCCTAGGAAAGGAATGTCTCTTTTAACAGAAAAGTAAACAAATTTTTCATTGTTTATTGACATTATGGGGACCACAAGCTCTGAGATAGCATTCTGCATTTCTTGGAAACAAGATTTCAAAGGGATAACTGTCCTACCAGAAGGCCGTGGGAACCACTGCTCAGAGTGTTTAGGACCTGGAGCCTGTGGCCGCAGTGAGTGGGTGCCCTGTGGGAAAGGAGCCGCCAGGAGGTGGGGGTTTGTGGCAGCCAGGAAAGTATCACGGAAGGCACCCTGGGCCCAGGTTCAAGTCCTGGTTCTGCTACAGAGTAGATGCATGAGCAAGTCTGGTCCCATCAAGGGCTCCTTTTCTGTGAGACAAGGGAGGGGGGAGGAGGGGAAGTCGGGGAAGTTATTTCTTGGGTCATTCTAACAAAGAGTGATGTAGGGGTGGGGAAGCCCCTCCTCCGAGTGGAGAATTATCAGGGCCTGCGAGTATTTCCCTGAGAGAGGCAAAGGTCAGACAGCTGTAGAGCCAGGCCCAGGGGCAGGTCCAGTGAGTCACTTTGCCCCAGGGCATTGGTGACCCTCTAATATGTCATTCTTGTCAGCCCCAAGAAAAGCCATATGGCAGTCTCCCTGTGTATCAATTCAAACTCAAGGCGATGAACACAATAAGCTCAGGGGTGGTGGCCTCTTGACCCTTCTGTTGGTCTCAAAATGACTGTGCGGTTGCTGAGCCAGAGCTCTGGCTGACTGGTTTTCCATAAAGGTCCGGCAGGCCCAGCCCAGGAAGAGTATTGGTCGGGTAGCCTATTCTGCCAATCTGTTTTTAATTAGGTGCCCGAGGTCCCTAATCCTCTGTCAGAATTAAGTTTGAAAGGGTACCTGGGTCTGTCATACTGTGCACACACACAGTAGGCGCATAGTACACTGGGAATGATAGTACTCACGGAGTACATACCTTGTGCCTGGCATAAGGTTAAACATGGGACATGAGCCATGGAATCTAGTCCTCATCAGCCCTGTGAAGTTGGTGTGGGGACATGTTAATAATAGTTGAAAAAGCAGAGGCTCAGAGAGTCTACGTAACTTGCCCAAGTTCACACAGCACAGTTTTTACCCCAATTCTCTGTGTGCCAGAGACTGTAATTTTAACCCCTACTCTGCTACCACCCAGAAGTTGAAGACATACTCCCTGGCTCCAAGGAGTTTAAGATCTAAAGATAAAAATATATACCGTATTTGCCGGCGTATAAGACGACTGGGCGTATAATCCACTCAAAATACAGAGTTTGTTATATACTCGCCGTATAAGACTACCCCCTCTTCCGCACACCTTCCACACACCAAATAAAAGGTAAAACAATATCAGATTTGATTTTAACATTTTAATTTATATTCAAATGCTTATGACATGCAGGAAAACTGTCACAAGGCTGTATGTAATCAAACATATACATAAAACAGTGCAAGTTTATTACCGGTAAACATACCGGTAATTCACTAAAGAAAACACACTCTATAGACTGGTACCGTAGATGCTTCTCAGGAACACAGGCAAGCAGCCCACAACCTAGAGGGACTGTCAATGATAGAAGA